TGCTCTAGGCTGGAACCTCAGTTTCCTATTTTCCACTTCCCAAGTCAATTCCACTAATTTAGCCAATCTAAAAGCAGTGGCTAAAGTTGTGGGATTGTGAATTTTAACCCTATGCTTAATTTCTTCTTTCAATCCACTCAAGAAACTAGAAACAAAATACCCCTCCTCCAAAAATGGACTATACTGCAACATGTAAGACCTCAACTCCTCAAACTTCTCATGATAGTCTTCTACAGAATTCTTTTGAATCAGCTTGTTAAACTCTTCCACAATGTCATTACAATTCTGATCACAGAATCTATGACATATATCTGCTGTAAATTCATGTCAGTTCACCTTATGTTTCTGGGCTATATAGCCATCAAACCAGGTCTCAGCCTTCCCTATTAAATACATGGTAGCTAATTCTACTTTCTGACCTTCAGGTACTCTAAAGATTGAGAAATACTTCTGACATTTTTTTACCCAACTTCTAGGATTTGTTCCATCAAACATTTGAAGTTCTATTTTTGGTCTGAAAACATAACTTGAATGAACATCTTCCCCAATGGATGATTCTCCCATTTCTGTTATGTTTTCCCCCATTTTTAATTTTTGCACATCCACTCTAGCATGAGGTTGATTTTCACAAAGTGGAGGTGTATTAACATGTTTAGGAGCTAATATTCCCGGTTCACCAGTCTTAAATGTATACTTCTCATGCTCACCAAGAACAGTAACCAAACATGGAAGCTTACCTTCTTCTTTGTTTTGTTTTGCAGCTGCTGGTGGTTGACTCCTTTCTGACCGAGGTGAATCTTTTTCCTCGGCTGCCTGATTGACCAGCTGTAGGATTCTCTGCAAATAGCCTCTATTTTCAATCATCCCCTCTTCCAATGTTTGTATCCTTTCCTCCAGCTCTGCCTTCTGTCCAGTCCACCAAGATGGTAAGGCCTCTTCATCCTTAACCTCTATTGTTTGTTCTTGTACCTCCACAGTTCCATTATTTTTCATCTTTTTTGTTTTACCCAGCGTGTAGATTTGTTTGGTATCACTGACTTAGCTCTGATTACCAATTGTTAGGTTTGCACCTAAAATTTGTGAGAAAATATTGTAGAAGAAGAAGAAAAGGTAGGTTTACAGAAAACGGATTCTTAATTTTCATTCATAGAGTTCATTTTTCTTCCATTACATCCTATATATATTTCTAGATAGACCAATTATTTAGTTACAACTGTAATATTCTTTCCAACTGTAATATATTTCTAGATAGACCAATTATTTAGTTATAACTATCTTCCGTAGCGATGGTACTTTTGAGCGTCGTTGTTGGTATCATGGTCTTTTCCCAAAGATTAATCAGACCAATCTTGACAGGCTTGGAGACCCAATATCTGATGGTGACGTGAAACAAACTCTTTTTGATGTGGGACCGCTTAAGTCACCTGGCATTGACGAGATTTTTGCGGGTTTCTTTCAAAGAAATTGGAATTCCGTGGGTCAATCTGTTTGTGATTGTGTCAATAGAATTTTTGCTGTGGGGTGCTTCCAGATTTTTTAAACAAAACTCTGCTGGTTCTCTTCCTAAACTCTCTGCTCTGACAAGTACGAGTCAGTTTCGGTCGATAAGTCTTTACACAGTCATTTATAAAATTATCACTAAGATAATTATGAATCGACTGAAATTGTTACTTCTGAGATGGGTCTCTGAGTTCCAGACTAGTTTTTGTCTCCGGTCGGTCAATTACAGATAATACTGTAATCACACAGAACATTATTCATACGATGAGAAAGAAAACAAGAAAGTGTGGTTGGATGGCCATCAAGATTGATCTAGAGAAAGTGTATGATCGATTAAAATGAGAATTTATTGACGATAAATTCCAATGTCTGGGGTGAGAGATAGTTGTTCTTATGGAATGGTTGAAGAAACACACTGCATTATTAAATTCCAAAGAAACACATTACATGGAACGACTTTCTCAAAGAATTCAAAATGTGAGTTAATAATTACCGATGGCAGCCTTTTCGAGTATCGAAGCAAAGCCCAACTATCTCTCACTTGTTTTTTTCCAGATGATATGATCTTGTTTGTGGAAGCTTCTATTGATCAACTAAAGGTGATTCAGGAAATTCTTGAGAATTTTTGTAAGGTGGTAGGACTAAAAGTGAGTATTGCAAAGACGACAATGTACTTTTCTAAGAATGTTCCGGTGGATGTTCGCGCTCACATTAGCTTGTTCTTCGGCTTCACTGAGGTCTTAGATCTTGGGAAATACTTGGTTGTCCCTATTCTTCGTTCACGGGTAACGAAGGAGTCCTATGAGTATTTGTTGCAAATGGTGCAAAATAGTTTGAGTGGTTGGAAGGCGAAAAATTTATCGCTAACTGGAAGAATTACGCTCGCAAAAGCTGTCTTATCAGCAATCTCGTCTTATACAATGCAAACAACTGTTTTGCCTAAAAATATTGTGCTGAACTAGAGCGCCTAATTCGACGATTCATTTGGGGAATAACGCAAGATAGTAAAGGTGTTCATTTGGTTCGTTGGGAGGATGTTTGTAAGCCGACCTAACAAGGAGGGCTTGGATTTCACTCGACAAGTACCCAAAATGAAGCTTTTCTAATGAAGTTGGCATTTAGTTTAGTTACTAAAAAAGATGCACTTTGGGTTCGTTTTCTGCAAAGTAAATATAAATGTGAGGAGGGTATTCCTATTGCGTTACGCAGTGGTAGTTGTTTGAGACTATGGAAGGGCCTTGGCGTTGTTTGGAGTGATGTTCATAGTAACACATGCTGAAGTATTGACAATGGGAAAAGTGTAGATTTTTGCACGATTATCAACAATTGGTCCTCTTATTTCCCATGTTTTGCGTCACACTGTGATTAATATGGGTAATGTTCGTGTAACAGACATGGTGAACCAACACGTGATTGGCGTTGGGAGCTTTTCCAAAACATGCTTCCATACTCGGTTGTTCTTCGAATAGCTGCTATCAAAGGGCTAAAGGCTTACCTTGTAGGTGACTCACTGGGGTCGTTGGGACGTGAAGATCGTAGTTTCTCAGTGAAATCTAATTATGAGATCCGAAGAGGATTATCGACGGCTGATATAAATCAGCCTTGGAAACAGATTAACCAATACCAGGGATTGCAACGAATTAAAATTTTTATGCGGTTGGTTTGTTGTGGTAAACTCATGACCAATGATGAGAGAATGCGGCGTCATTTTACTACGAATAGCTTTTTCCTGTATGTAATGCGGAGGTTGAGGACATTAACCATGCTCTTCATTTATGCCCGGTTGCAAAATCCATTTGGTCGCTGCTTATTAAAGGAGACAAACTAGCAGAATTCCTTAGCATAGATCTTCGACAATGGATTGGTATTAACATCAAACAATTGAATACTTTGCAGACGAGTCAAAGGATTGGAACCTATTCTTTGGAGCTATCTTTATGGAATTGGTGTTTAATTCACAGGTTGTATTTGGTCAATCAGTTCTTGAACGAAGTAGGGAGCTGGCTGCTACAACGCAGAGGTCGATTTCGGGAACTAGTTACCCAGGTCCTTCGAGAGACAACAGCCCCATTTTTTTGGTGCCCCCTGTCGATGGGATGGATAAAAGTCAATACCGATGGCACTAGATCTGATACGGATGGCCGAGCTTCGTGTGGAGGAGTGATCCGAAACGATACAGCCAACTGACAGGTTGGTTTTCAAAATTCATTGGGATATTTCGATTATGGAAGCAGAGTTATGGGGAATCTTTCTTGGTATGCAGCAGGCATGGGAGCTCGGGTTTAGACAAGTCCTAATTGAATCCGACAACAAAGATGTGATCCAACTTATCCAAGATAGGGAAGCTCGACAAGATTTCCATACCATTCTTCTTCACATCCGTGAGTTGTGCAGGAAGAATTGGTCCATTAAGTTTCAACATGTTCGACGGGATGGAAATAAGGTTGCCGACAGAATGGCCAAGTTAGTTTGCCACGACTCTTTCGATGTAATCCAATGTATAAGCCCACCGCCGAGTGTTGCAGAGTTGTTGAAAAGTTACAATAGCTAATCCGTTGTAGCTCTCATCCTTTTACCCAAAAAATATTAAAAAAACCATTTGCATGGAATAAAGGAACTCCAAATGCTTGTCAAGATTTTCAGCTGGAAGTAAATAAAAGAAATATTATTTTTGAGTTATTTTTATTATTTTTAAATATAAAATATATTTTTAATTTAGGGTAAATATAAGATAATATTTATTCAAAAATAACTCTAAACTATTTAATATTAAATGCTCACAACCCTGACATTTTTAGTACTAGAACGCAGGACCTCGGAGAATATCAATAATTCATTTTCTATCGACATCGTTTGATTCGTGTAAAATAATAATAATATTTAAATTTAAAAATCATTGACAGTCAAAATACTATAATCTAAATCGAATTTAGATTAATCAATATTTATAATGAAAGAGGCTTCTAATTAAAATAGTGAAAATTTCAGGTCATATCGTGGGCCTTTATTAGTTAAAGCCCTCGAAAGGCCCAAATTAAAGGCGGCGCTCAACCCTAACTCAAACAGAAGACACTTCCCCTATGAAATAAAAAGCCCAAACTACGAAACCCTAAATCCTGAAATCCCTATTTAAATGTCTCAACCCCTCTCATCTCTCTCAACTTTCCGCCTCCGAAGATCTCATTATCAGTTTTCAAGTTTAAATCTTTTTAATTTCTTTCCCCCATTCAATTGATTTTCGTCAGCCATAAATCCCTCCTGCAAATTTCTATTCTGTGCTTTAATTTTTGAATTGACGTGGGTTTTTGGTTGTGCATCTGTTTACCCTCTCCTTTGTGTAGCTAAATGAATGCTAAAGGAGATATAACGGGTGCGAACAATGAAAGGTTAGCTTACCAGCCCATTGCATATCTTTGCTTTGCCTTGGTGTCAAATGGACTTACCAATATTTCTTTTCGCTTTATTGAAAAAATCGTCGTCTTCAGTAAAATCTTCATAATGGTGGCAAAAGATGAATGTTTATATTATCCTACACTCTGAAAAAACCGTGTGGATTTTAATTTCGCTTATTGATATTCTGATGCCATTTCTTTGGTTTCTTTTTATTTTTTTTCCGATTCAGTTTGTAGTTGAAATTATGAAGTGAAGGCAAATGATGTAATGTTTCTATGCTAAACACTGAATCTAAGTGTAGACAAATAAACTCCGCTTATTATCCGATGCCTTCGCTTTTGTTCTTTTCAGCTTAATCAAGCTTCTGTTTTTACTTATTTTTTTTCTTATGAAGTTTCAATGTTTTAAACAAAAGGGTTTGAGTGGGATTTTCAATGATGAGAAGTAGCAGACGGGCGGTCTGAACTGATGCCATGTTGTATGTCTGCCATTATCCACATTTGGATTTTCTCTGAGTTTTAATTTTTTCCAAGTGTGTTTTCTGATTTTCAATTTTTTGGAATATCGTTGGTGGATGGGTATAACATCTATTCTTTTTTAATGCAATGATGAACTTGCTTTAACTATGTCTGGACGTATGAACTTAGCTTATGATTAGTTATGCAATTTCTGAGCATTGCTGTGTTTCTATAATGAAATATGCCTCTTGATTTATGTTAGTTCTTTCCACTGCTGTGATTTTGTTCTTCTCTTTTAACAATTCCTTATTATGTATGTATGGTGTCTTTGTTAGAGTGTAGGTATTTCTTGGTTTGAGATTTGTTGGATTGTAGGCTTTTTGGTTTGAACCTTAGCATAACACGGAGAAATTTCACAGCAGTGGAAAGATTGTTTTTGAGATTCAAGTATATAGCAAGTTCATACCAAAATGATTTTGACAACTTTCACCTCTACTTGGCTCCATTATAATTCCTATACATATCATTCAAGCTACAAGGTTCTTGTACAAGCTTGAATTTCAAACTTTTAACACAAAAGTAATGACAGATCTTGAAATATTTTTTTAGGTAGATACCCATAGTCTAACAACATAAATATTTTGAATAGGGTGGACACAATTTCAAAGTGGGCACCAAAGTAAGGAACTAAGAAAAAAAATTGTATTCCATGTCAACATGTGGTTCAGCCGCTGCTAAAAAAGATTCGGAACAAAAACAGATTCTACAGCATATTGTGCAGTGTGCGTACAATGAGTACTAATTTAAGTCCACAGAAAAATCAACAAGGCTCTTGGAAAAATTTAATTTAGTGTTAATAAAAAATGGTGATTTTCATTTTAAAGGTGTAGTGTCCGTCTTGTTTGCGACGTGGGAACATTCAAATGTACTCCATAATGGGTTAGAGCTGTTTGATTACAAAGGATTGATCGTTTTGAGCAACAGACTACGATGCCATGGATAAACAAATAGGTGATCTGCAACACAATCTGTATTGAACAAGTATGGCTGATGGGATGTTTTGTATTTGTTTTTATGGGCAACATGGTGTCATCAAGAACGCATTTATTGCTCTTCAAGGCATTGTAGCACTGTTCAAATTAGGCACAAAAAATTGGTAAATTAAAAAATTCATTTAGATGTCAGATATAAAGAATAACTTGTATAAAGAATTGCCTATTTTTTATCGACAACATCATAAAGTATTGTAAAAGAATATTGAAGGTGGATTTGGATCCACAAAGTTTTTTTTATGTCCATAATGATTATAATATAATATATGTTCATAATATTTCTTAATTTTTGATAATGAATACCCATCTAACAAACACAATTGCTTAATTCATAACTTGTATAAAGAATAACTCTCCACTTAATGTTTTAAGTTTTATGAGATTTATGAATTTGTATGGTGCATTTGTCAATAAAATACATGTTGAAGAACTGAAATTATATCCTCTTGTATCAAGTAATTTCATACAAATTTCAAATTTAAAATTTTGACCCGAATACCAAAAGATAGATAAGAGTAATATGGTAAAATTTCAAATTCTCTCTCCAAAAGATTTCATTTTTATCATGTTATGGGTGGAATTTACTTTTCCTCCCTGGATGAAATTTTTATCATGGTCAAATTTCAAATTCTCTCTCCAAAAGATAGAATTGGATTTCAACTTTCTCTTTGAAAACTTGAATCAAATATAAGAAAATGATGTAATTGGATTTCAATTTCTCTTAATTCTAAGGGATTTCATCGAACCAAAGATGAGCGTTTAACCACCCGGCCAAATATGATTGCTCTCAAGTGAAAGTTAAGTTTATGACAGAATTGCCTATTTGACTATCGACAACATCATAAAGTCTCGTAAAAGAATATTGAAGGTGGATTTGGATCCACAAAGTTTTTTTTATGTCCTTAATGATTATAATGTAATATATGTTCATAATATTTCTTAGTTTTTGATAATGAATACCCATCTAACAAATACAATTGCTTGAATTCATAACTTGTTTAAAGAATAACTCTCCACTTAATGTTTTAAGTTTTATGAGATTTATGAATTTGTATGGTGCATTTGTCAATAAAATACATGTTGAAGAACTGATATTATATCCGCTTGTATCTAGTAATTTCATACAAATTCTTGGGGTTTGAAAGGGGAACGGTAGGTTGGGCAGGTGAGTTTCCTTGCAAACCAAAGATCGATACAATGTGCATGGAACATATGGTTACAAACCGGGAAAATCCTGCATCGTTCCCCACCCTCAAAGCCATCCAGGCAAACCGCACAGTTCATTGACGACGTCGTATCTACCACAAAATAAAACCAAGGGAGCTGCTGTATCTCTTCCATGTCCATACCCGAACGATCCTCTTCTTCGCTTCTTTCATCGTCTTCATGGATGAGTAGGTAAAATATGACTAGATAAACTAAAACAAGGACGCTAATAGAGATGAACATTTGTCGGATTTTAATCCGATCCGGATCGGTTTTTATCCGATCCGGTTTTTTCCCATAGAAAAAAAAACCGGTTTATAAAATAACCGGTTCGGTTTTTAACCGGTTTGGAAGGCCGGATATCCTAACCGGTGTAACCGGTTTCGGTTTTAAAAAAACCGTTTTTTTTTTAAAAACCGGTTATAAAAAAACCGATTTTAATATTCCAGATTGCTCATAGGGAACCGATTCCCCCCCAAGGGGTACCGATTCCCCCTTATTCAACGGTCGAAATATTTGAATTTTACACTTAGGGAACCGATTCCCTATGAGAGGGTACCGATTCCCCCACGCTCCAAACATTTTTATTAAATGTTTTCACACTTAAACGGCTATATTATCTTCATTAATTATCACTAACGTTCAGAAGTGATTCAAGGTGTATTTAAGCAAGCTTAGAAACCATTGATCAAAGACAAGAAACATCAAGCAACTAGAATCAAGAGAGAATCAAAGAGAAAGCATCAAACCTCAAGTTCGATAAATTCAAATACTTAATTGAAATACTTAATTAACTCAACATAATTGAAATACTTAAATACTTCCAAGTTTGATAAATTCAAATACTTAAAAACTTCCAAGTTCGATAAATTCAAATACTTAAAAACTTCAAGTTCGATAATTGAAACAAAGTTTACGATAATTGAAATAAAGTTATAAAATAAACTACATTGCCATCTCTTCTTCATCATCTTCGCCTTCTTCGTTTGGAGGGGATATTCCAAGTTCGACTTCTTCAATGTGTAAGTTTGCTTCCAAATCGGCATCAATTGCATCTTCTAGGGTGGTGATATGTTGCTTACGAGCCGCTCCATCCAAATAATCCTTTAAACAAATGCATACTTCCACCGACTCGGGACATAGTCTTGATCTCCGTTGCGATATAACCCTGCCACTAACAGAAAAAGCGGATTCCGAAGCTACCGTAGAAGCTTGGACGGTTAGTAAATCACGGGCCATGGCGGTTAGAATCGGAAATTGTGCTTCCTTTTCTTTCCACCAAGCCAAAATATCCAAACTTTCAAACTCTTCAAATGTCATTTTTGATAGAAAATCGCATGACATGTAATTTCCCAACTCGCTACTTGGGGTGGTAGTACGTGATCGTTTGGATTGGGAATTTACAAGAGTGTTAAAAAGATTCAAATTTATGTTACTTGGACGTCTACTAGATGATTCCGCATTCATTCTCATTTGATCGTGTATTACACTACTTGATCCGTATTTAGTTAAATAAATTGCAAACATGTCTCGAAAACATTTGTTAAAATAATTTATTTGGTTTTGGACAAAGTTGGGTTCATCATCGGTTAGATTAAAAGCAAACGCAATTTGTTCAATTAGTGTTTTAACCCCACCAACATTTAACGTTGGGTTTAAAGCGGCGGCACAAGTAAAAATTGGGGGAATCTCCTTAAAATATTTTAAAAGTTTTTCATTCTTTGCAAAGCCAATTTCTTGAAAAACTTCGGTTTCAAATTCAAAGTCATTTAGTCGGGTAGCTAACAAAAATATTTGATTAAGAATCAACGGGCTAGTAGGGTAATAAACACCAGATAAAAAAGTTGTTGCATTTTTAAAAACCTCAAGCAAATCGGTTATTTTGGCTATAGTTTCCCAACTCGAATCCGGATAAATGTTTGGGACATGACCTCTCTCGAAAAGCCGATCGTGAAATGTTTGCAATGTTTCCCTTTGCCTTAAGGCAGTATGCATCATCATCCAAGTTGAGTTCCAACGAGTTGGACAATCCAAATTAGGACCCAAAGCTTTTTTATTAACGGACTTACAAAATCGTTTATAATCATTTAGTCTTTTGTTGTTGTTACAAAGAACCGATTTTATCATTGTTTTAAATTCTAATCTAATCGGCTCAATAACCTCCAAACCGGCTTGCACGGATAAATTAATTATGTGTGCAACGCAACGGGTATGAAAAAACGCACCGTCTAAAATCGGTGAAAGTAATATTTTCAATCTTGGAACCGCGTTTGTATTATTCGATGCATTATCAAATGATATAGAAAAAACTTTATTTTCTAATTTATAAAGACAAATTACCCTTTTTAAAAGTGTAAATAAATTAGCACCGGTATGCGGCTCACCGAATAATTCAAACGCGATTGTTCTTTTCATCATTTGCCATTTATCTTGATCTAACCAATGTGACGTAACGGCTAAAAAAGAATTTCCGGTATTATGAGGGGAACTCCAAACGTCACATGTAAGCGACACACCATAACGGTGTTCTTGGAATCCTAAAATCATTTTTTCCCTCGCCGTACGCCACATTTTTATAGCATCTCTTCTAAGGGTAATACGACTTACTTGAGTATAAC